ATATATATAGGTTATATCACTATTTATATATTATTTATTTTAAATCTTTCCACGTTTTCTATAACAAAATCTATATGTTATTTTCAACAGCTTTTAATATTCGCGTGTTAGCCAACAAATCGATTAGAAACAAATTTCGAAACAAATATATAATTTCGAATTACAAATAACTATTCCCAAGTTCTTCGTGAAATCGTACGTAAAATCGCATATAAAGACATAATAAATCCTTCAACATCACGAGTTTGGTATAATAAATATTGAATTCGATTATTATAAATCTCTCTCCGTAAAGGTTCCAGCGTGAGCGCGGGTGTTCTCACGCGAGAACCGTCGAGTGACATTTGGCTGGAAAAATAGGTAGAAAGCCAACGGGGCGTCGATGCTGCATCTCTACGACGCATATATTTTGCAAGCGGTGGAAAGCGCGCGAGCACTTGGCAGTATCTCTCTTTCCTTCTTTCTTTCTCTATCCTTCTTAGTTGCAGCGACTGTTGCTGCTGTTGCAGCGCTCTGCAGCAACGAAGATTTCGCGACGGGTTTAATCGAATATAGGCGATGACGATGTGTGTATGTGTGCCGTTGCACAAGTGAAAGAGCCCCGAGCCATTATGGACGTTTACTCGAAATGTCAAGGATGCAACCACGTGTGCTTGCGCGGGAAGATGACGAAAAGACAGAGAAAAAGAGAGAGACAAGAAAGAAAGAGGAGAACGAGACAATGACAGCCGCGAGGCATGATAGAATTGTTATTTTGTCACGCATGGCTTGTACGCGTCCACGGTGCGAAATGAAAAGTGGCCATATCTAAATGTTTCTGGAACTCTACGGTACGGTGAGCGCCTTTCCGCAGGGAGCCGCTTTCACTGCGGTCGGAGTCGTGCGATGCGCTTTCAAGGTTGCAACCGGAGTGCAGAGGCATGATATCGTGATTTATGTTTCGTAACACGCGATAAGTGTCTTTTTGATGCGCTCAGTTATCTGTAAGGAGCAAGCATGACGTCAGCAGCTTGTACGATTGATATCCAATTCTGATCATGAAGCGATATATTTATTTATATAATTATAATTCCGTTGCATCAGATAGTATTAGGATTCTTTATTCTCAAACTAGAGGAGAGATGACGTGGTCTTAAT